TGGTTTTCTATTCCTGTTGCTGTGGCCAATGTCTGTTGCTTACAAATGACTTTTGCCCAATGGGTGGTTGGGTGGCTGGGTGGTTAGGCGCATGGCTGGCCGGGCAGCTGGGCAACGGACCGCCTATGCATTTGGCTGTGTAATTTTTTAGCGGAAAAACAGAGGCAGCATGCAATTTATGTTGTTTACCCAAGATTATTCATAAGCCGTGGCCAGGTCACAGGCTGTGCATTTGTTCTCGCCCCCCGCCCCCGCCCCCGCCCCTCTGCCGGGCCAGCAAGCACGAGTGCTGCTGATTGCGGCCATCCTTGGTGGCGATGGTACGAACCGTTACCCTAAGCTTCCATTATGTTTGCTGTTGTCAATGCAATACGAATACGCTGCGCCTGCACTTTTCTAAATAAACTTTCTGCTGAATTCGCTTTAAAATTGTGGCAGGAGCTGGAGCAACGGGCAGCAGCAGGAACGGCAGAGCCAATGGCGAAGCTCAAATTGCTGACCAGTTGGACTGCTTTCAATCCAGTGGCCAGTGGACTAGAGTGGGCGTGGCAACATGCCTCACTACATGTAATTTTACGCGCAACTTAACTTGTTAACGGATGAAAGGGGAGCCAGAGGGAGGAGAGCAACAACTGTGGTAGTCCATCCACACACACACACACACACACACACGCACAGTACCTGCCGCACTGTTTGAGCTACATGGCGTATGCTTAATATGCAGCTTTGCTGCTTTGATTTGGAATTAAAGCTGAAATCAGCAGCAAGCAGAGATTGCGGCATTGTTCCCTTGAATTTGATGTTGAAATTGTGTTTTGTGCGGAGAGTCTGAGTTATTGGGTCAAATGTTAAGCATACGCCGCGTGGCCCATGCACTCGTAAGGCTGCCTCATTCAAGAGAGATGGGGAAGAAGCGCATTTAAATTATAAATAAATACTCATACTCACACACCATAAGTCACGTAATACTATTGTACTCAATTCAGATTATATTGCATATACATACATATATAACTGTGCTTTATTGATAGCGCGCTGCCAGACTTGCAAATGGCTTATAATATGTCCACAGCAGAGTCTATCTTAATGCGACTTAATTGCATTGCATTTATGCATTTATATTAAGCTAGTTAATTGGCAAATATAATGACAGAAGTAAATACGTTTGAATTTATGCAAATTAATGCTAGATAATATGATAGTTAAAGCTTTGGCGCTGTAAGGCCCAAAGAAGCTCAAGTTCTTATTTTCAATTGCTGATAAATGGTATTGAGGTATTAAATAAATTTAAGTGCTGCTCATACTACAATATTTAATAGGTATTTATTACATTTTTGTGCAGAAACTAAAGAGTTTGAGGCGAAGAAAATAAAAAATAAAATACATTATGTGTATAACAATATTGTAATTAAAAACTGTTGATTTTTTACCTTTCAATTTAATTTTATTTAATGAAATCTAATTTTGTTTCAATGTGAAATGAATTTTTATAAATAAAAAATATATATATATATTTGAATGCTCAAAAAATAAAATATATAAAATATATCAACATTTATTTTTATTACAATATTGTAGCTATATATAAATATAATAATTAATTATAAAAAAATAATTTGAAAATTTAAACAATGAAATTTTTGAATAATTAAAAATGGTATATTAATTAATTACTATTTTCATTACAATATTAAAATTATATAAAATTAAAAAATCCATTAAAATTTTCTATTATTTTTAAATCTGTTTATTACAATATTAGTGTTGATAAAATAATACAAAACTAAAAAATTAAAATATAAAATATTTAATAATTATATTTATTACATCATGGTAGTAAAATAATATGAAAAGAAAACCCTTTTCAGGGTATTCAACATCCGGTCTTCTGTGAACATTTGCATATTTCTGGCCACCCGCCTCTCTTTAGTTTCAAGGAGCATTCTGCATGCTCACTTGACTATTTAAATGGATGCAGCTCCTCAACAGCTGCTACCATTCGCTTTCCATCCCTTTAACGTGCCGCACAAAAGCGACAAGCTCATTGTTCAATTAATTGCCGCACAATGGTATTATATGTACAACCTCTGGACTCGCACTAATTTACATCCTCACTCTTCTGCCACTTGTCTTCGCCCCTCATTTGCCCGCTCTCTGTCTCTTTCTATCTGTTCTCATTCCATTCCTTACTGACCTTTTGCACGCCTTGTTCATTACAGATACGACTATGGTACGCTGCTCCAGAATTCGACGTTTTGCTTGGTGCCACGGGGACGACGCCTGGGCTCCTTCAGGTGAGTCAAGCGGGAGGGAAACAAAATGAAAAACAATTTTCATTTCGCAGCTCATGCCCATTTCATTTTAATCTCTCTCTCTCTCTCTCTCTCTCTCTCTCTCTCTTTCTCTTTCTCTTACTTGCACACATATGTATATATATATAAATTGTGTTTTTCCTTTTTTTTCGAAGATTTCTCGAAGCGTTGCAGGCGGGCTGCATCCCGGTGCTATTGTCCAATGCCTGGGTATTGCCATTTGAATCGAAAATCGATTGGAAACAGGCCGCCATTTGGGCCGATGAACGGCTGCTGCTCCAGGTGAGTTGGCCAAAAGCGTTAACCATATACATATATACAAATCTATATATTCATATACAGATATTGGCACATCAGTTTCTTTTTTGTATGTTGTTATAAAATATGAAAACGCATGGCGGGTTTTGCTTTTTTTCGGGTCTCTTTTCAAATGTGACCCGAATCGTCTGGCTGATAGTTTTTTTTTTTTTTTTTTTGCCAACTAACCAACATCCGTAATGGGAATCCTGTGCGATGTCCTGTCCGCTGTCAGTGGAACATCGTCATTTATTGACGCTTTAATGTTCATTAAAGCTGCACAAGCAACAGAAAAAAAAAAAAAAAAACAAAACGCGTTGCATAATCATTTTTTGTGCTTTCCGTATTGCCTCAGGCAGCATAACGGTGCTCAGGAATTCAGGAATTCCCGCTGCAAGCCAGAAATACAAATTTAAATTCAACTTTTGGCACAACTGAGTATTGATGATATTTGTTGGGGCCTTATGAAAATGTCAACAGCAGGAAATTCGTAGTCTATGTAGAGTAAGCAAATATATGTATGAAGTATGTATATATATATGTATTTTATGTGGCGCAGCTTGCTCACTCGATGCGCACTTTCAATATTTATACACACGTATAAATATGCTCTATCAAGAGTGGTTGATGTGTAGCTGGTCTTCAGTTCAGTTGCTCTCTTTAATATCGCCTGGAAATAACAGCCTCTAGCTGATTCGTCTTCTTCGACCGACAACACACACACGCACACACGTTGCTTTTCGACAAGGGTTCTACATGCCATCTCAGTCTCTCTCAGCAACACCCGACATCGCAATCGACAGCAGTTCTATTTATCTCACTCTCATGGGCTGCCAATTTGAGTTTATTAAGAAGCGATCTGCCAACTTGAATAAAAAGTCCAACAATAAGACGCTATGTTGTTTAAAAAAGTTACTTTATATATTCATGATTCTTTCTTCATTTGAATCATTCATGAATCATTTGATATTCTAAAATATATTTTAATTATTTTCTACAGTATATATATTTTATATATAT